ACTTAAGTTAAATTTCAAAGACTTTTCTTTATCTTTCTCTATTTTTAATTCATTCAGGGTTTAACTAATCTAGAAATCACTCGGAAGTTGTCAGTTACTTGGTGACCACCTTCAACTCTGGAATGACAAATCTAAACTTCAAATAAAACTATTACCTCTCTGCCACAGCCACAGCCCAGGCTTTCTCTCTAGGTGGACTAACTTCACTGGGGTGTACCCATATGGGGTAAGTCCTGTTGGGATCCTTACTTCCCATATAGTTGGTGGTAAATGCCTTCAACTTACTCAATTCCTCTAAATTTAATTTTTAACATCAACGTACAATTTATATACATCTTAGCAAGTTACCCAGCCTAAAACAGCCTATTCTGAGGAATTTTTTTCTTCCTTTTCCCTCCTTCCTTCCTTCTTTTCTCTCCTTTCATTTTCTTCCCTCCTTCTCTCTCTCCTTCCATTTTCCTCCCTCCCTCCCTCCTTTCTTCCTTTCTTCCTTTCTTTCTTCTTTCCTTCCTTTTTCTCTGTTTTTCTTTTTCTTTTTTCTTGCTTTTGATGTACACATACCAAATGCAGTAGGTTTTAGATGAGATCCAATAATGATAATAAAATAATAATACTAACAAACATTATAGGCTAATAATAATGATAAAGGTTAACATCAAAACACCAGCTACACAAAACTATATTTCCTATGCTGTGCTTGATCAACTCTTTCAATTCTCACAGCCACCTATGGAACAAATACTACTATTAGTTTTATTCTGAAGATGTGGGAATTAAGTTACAGAAACATGTGCTAGTTAAACTGAACATCAGAAATACGATTCGAATCCAGGGAATTTGAGCACTGAGCCTTTATTGCTAGCAATCCATATGTAGCTTCCAGTAACTAGCTAATGATATATGGCACTTGAAGGATATAACTTATACAAGAGGAGTCATTAGTGAACTGTTGTCAGCAAGTCATTTTTCTTAACTACACATAGTAGAATTGTTCATTTTTAGCATTTTCTTTTAGAGGACACAATGATTATTCTAGAACTATGTGTCTACAACATCCAAGTAAATTGAGAATAATATTTTTTTAGTCTAATTGGTGACCAGAATTTCCTCAAGTGGAGCTTTAGAAAATTAGAAAGAAAAGATTTAATTTGCATCTACTATGGCCATTGCACTTTTCTAGGTATTTTCATATTTATTATCTCATTGCATTTACAGGATTGTCCTGCAAAGTACATGCTATTAGCTCCAGTTTTACATAAGAAGGTACTGATAGAGAGCAATTTTCCAAGGGCACATGCTAGCAAATACATTTACATGTTAGTCAGCAAGAGAGTAATGCCTAACTCATTAGGGCACAGTCCTGAGAGTACCATTGAAAAATGTTTAACTTTTATTACAGTTGTATTTCATTACATATGTACCATGTTTCCCTGAATTTAAGCATGAAAATTCCTGTCTTTCCACGCAGTTGTGTTATCATTTCTAAAACGCTTTACCTTCATTTATTTGTGTCTTAAATTTTTTTTATTTCTCATCTGTTCTTCAGCTTTTGAAACCACTAATGATCTATTAAACCAATAGTGTGAGTGCAGCATTATATTTACAGCAGTATAAAATGCTACTTGTAAACAGCAAGTAACCAATATTTTAGGTTCCTAATCCTAAATGTAAGAATCATCTTGACTCAATATTTGCAATTCAATTGTTATATAAGCATGGATTCACAAACATTTTGCTTTTTCAATCATAAGATCAGTTTTGCCTAATTTAACAGCCTTTTGGCAAGAGGAAAAATACGTTAACTGTGTATATAGTAGCAAAAGGGAATAAAAAATTTTGTAAGACCTAGAAGACTAGAAAAGTGTCCTATTATTTTAAGGGCAATTTACTGGAAAATTTAGCTTTCTTTGATCTGTTTACCCTAGAGGTTTTTTAATATTTGAATACAATTAAGAAAGAGTTCCATAACTCTTTTTTAATGAGGAGAGAAATCTACTGGCTCATCAGATACAGGTAATTTGTTGCTTATTCCTCAGACAGTATGGGTATGGCATCTCTCTGAATTAGCTGATGGCTACAATTCCTTGCGTCTTAAATGTTCCCTCAATACAGAGCACAAATTCCTCAAACTATATAAGGACTATCTCTTATATTTTCCAATACTTTTCTGGCATAGTGTATTTATTTCCTGTGACAGCTGTAACAACTTACCACAAACTCAATGAAAAGGCATAAAACAATAAAAATTCATTTTCTTACAGTTACAGAGGACAATAGTCCAAAATCTGCTTCACTGACCTAAAGTGAAGTTATCAACAGTGCTGATTCCTCCTGGAATCCACGGGGAGAAATCCATCCCCCACCTTTTGTGGATTATAATGATTGCTGGCATTCCTTCGCTTGTGGCCACAGCACGCCAAACTCTGTTTCCATTCTCACATTGTCTAGGCTCTCTGATCTACTGTCTCCCTCATAAGAACCCTGGAAATTACGTCGGGCCCACTGAGATAAACCAACTCAAGATCTTCAATTTAGTCACATCTGTCCAGTCCCTTTTTGCCATGTCATGTAGCATTCACAGATTTCCCAGTATTAGAGGGCGGGCCTCTTGGGTGGGTGCATTATTCAGCCTTCTGCACACAAACAAATACTAATAAGGGGGGAATTAATGGAAGAAAATATCAACAATGAAAATAATATTTTACTAAGTAAAAACAGAGAAATGCATATGCCTCTCCGAAGTCTTCAGACCACAGTGCCATTCAAGTGACAACGGTCTTTATTGTCTGCTCAAGCCTGCCATTGCTATGAACCTGATGTTTGCTATTTTTCTGATGTGGGTGCGCTCCATCTCTTTCAAAGGTTGAGATTAGGGTACAAGATAGCTCTGTAGAGGTGTCATGTACAGAAAATGATGGCATGAATTGGATGGGGTGATGATTCCATATGTGTGTGATATCCTGAGTGAGGAACGAGATGAAACGTAAAAGCAAGTAAGAGGAGGTGAGCTAGGTTGTTTATTTGTTTGGAATATTATCTTACCAAAATCAATTAAAATCTGTTGTGACGGCTCATGCTTTGAATATTGGTTATGCCATATGATGTTCCACATTATTTTTTAGACTTACACCCGTGTGAATAAAATTAATTCAAACACCTCACTATTTAATGTTAAGATGGAAGGGAAGAATGTGGGTTTTACAGGTAGCTGACTTAACTCATCCTGTGTTTGCTAATGGTGTTTTCTCTCAAACGTGCTTCAAGGATGCCGAAGAAAAGAAGAGTAGAGACAACAATGGTACAAGAGAGAATGCACAAATAAAGCTTGATCAACCTCTGGCTTTTCTGTGTATCACCGGGGCTCAGTAATTTAGCAGAACTTGGCCATCAACTAACTGCCTATGTATCTTCTTTCCTATTTTTGCCTGCCTCAGGACTAACATTTTTCTGCACAAAATCCCAAGGCTCTCTATAGCCAAACAATTTGCTGTAAATATGCTTTCCCAATTGTGACCTTTGTCACCTGAGAGAAACTGCAGAAGGCAGCAAAACATGTTTAATACAGAGTTGCTTATTGTCAACTTTCAGAATAAATACTGAGAAAAGCACCGAGAAAATGGAGACTTTTTTTTTTTTTAAAAAAAGAGAATATCTGTAGGTTTAAATTAGTGTGCATTTGAAAAATATAAATGTGGTGTGCATTTGAAAAATCTAACTGAAAAGTAATAGAAAACAGTGAGAGAAATCTAATAGTTTGCTATTTAGAGGGTTTATTTTTAAAACTATCCTTATAGCAGATCCTACCTGAAGAAGTCTGTTCTATTCTATGTCTGAACACTTTTACTGTTAATAAATGCATTGTTTTTTTCAATTCAATGGAGGCTGGAAGTATAAATTATAATTTTATATTTTAAAGAACAAAATTTCAATTCTTCAGTTTAAATTAAAATCTTAAAATTCTTTACCCTTCACCATGAGGAGTAAAAAGTGCTCTTTAATATACACAGGGTTCATAAGAACTACACAGTTTATTCAGATAAAACTTTTAAGGAGTTATTTCCTTTTGTTGACATAAACTAAAAATAACTGCATTTTTTCAATACAGGAGTGAAATAAGGTGTAGGCGCAAAAGAAAACATGAAGAATAAGAGAACTAATTTGGGGAAAAATGGGAAAAATGTTTACATCTGACAGCAATTGGGGTTTATAGCAGGCGACGGAACACATGACATGTAATCTTAGTTAGGAAGGTATAATCTTGCAAAACTGGATATATTTAATAGTATATATTGCAGACACTTCTTTAAGAAGGGATTTAACAGAAGTCTCGGTTGCTTAGCAACCAATGCCCCCTGGGAACAAGTTCATTTTACGCCTGGTGTAGGTCACAGAATTTCGCAAGTATTGCTGTGAGTCTTACCTATGGACTTCTAATACATTAGATGAGAAGTTGTTACCACTATACGGCCTTGCACAGTAAGAGTATAGCACATATTTGGGGAAACCGATTCTTTCTTTTAAGAGATCAATGCCTGCTTTTGAGTAACTGTGCTGAGACAGGCAAACTACTTGGCTTATTTCAGAGTATATGATTACGTCCTTCAGTGTTTTACAATAGTTTAAAGGCTGGAAAAGTACAGGTTCCTTGCTTTTTACTTGAGTCCTTGTGAATCTTTAAATAACCACATTGCAGAAGCCCATAGACACCTGAACTCTTGTTAACCTCTGATTGACAGATGAGAGTTTGCCTATTAACATGAAAATCACTATTCGCTGAAGCTATGGTCCACAGATGATGAGTGATGGGTGATGGTCAAAGTGATGATTATGGATACTTTGAAGAATTATAATAAACTTATTTTTACATGTGTGAAAACATTAGCCTCTGTGGCTAAATAACACACTAATGAGATGTTGCTGTGTTATTGCCCCAAGCAGGGAGAAGGAAGTCTGGAGAAGCTTTTGACAGATATAAAATGTCCTAAGGCCACAGCCACACTGCACAGTGACCACTGAGCATGCATGCAGGCTCCATGTCTACTCTAGGCTATCCTGGAGTCTGCAGTACCACATCATACAGAACTCACTGCTATATCCCAGTGACTCCTTCTATGGCTCTTAGCTCCAATGCTGTAAGCCCTACCTTTGGACACTGCTTACCTAGTAGCTACCAAGGAAATCTCTGGCTCCTGGATTACTGCCAAGAATCCTACTGTGAAGCACCAAGCTGCGACCATCCCATCTGTGAGCCCAAGACCTGCAGCACCGCTGGTTGTGACCCATCAGACTCCTCCGTGCCCTGCAACGCCCCATCATCAGGCCAAGTCTTCAGTGTCTGTGAAACCACCAACATCAGCCACAGCCCCAGCTGCAGCCCATGCACGCAGACCAAGGGGTATGTATGCGATTGCCACACACCCACTCCATGTGCATCCAAAGCCTGCCAAACCCTATGCAATGGTTCCAACTGCTTTGGACAACTTAACTGCTCATCCAAGAGTCTCCAAACTCTAAGCTGCTGCAGACTGAGTACTCTGGGGTATAAAAGCTACCCAAATCCTTGCTTCATACCTAGCTACTCCTCACCATTATGGTATATTTCCAACATCAGCCAACCCCAAAGCTATTTAACGGAAAATTATCACTATTCAAGCTACAGGCCTATGAGCTGCCGACCGCTGAGCTATTTATCTAGAAGCTTCAGGTCTTTGAGCTGTATACCCAGTACCTTTCCACCTCTGAGGTACTTATGCAGTGGTAGCAGACCTCTGAAATGCTATTGACCAACTTACAGAATTTATAACAAGTGGAAGTTGCCCAGTGAAGAAGATTCTACTAAGTAGTAGAATGTCTAATTTTCTGCTGAATTGCTTTATTCATCCTAGGAATCTTGTTACATTAAGTTCAAATATAATCCCCAGGCTTATTACCCACAGTCAGTATTACCTGCTAGCTTTTTTTTTTTTTTTTTTCTGTTTGTTCTGTTATTGCTCTTTGTACTAAAAGCTGATCCTGAAGGTAACATCATTATTTCTGAGATCTATTACAATGGACTTACCAAAGAGATTCCATTTGAAATACAAGCATCACCAGCTTTCTTACTTTGGCTGTCACTGTCACTTGTCTGACAATGTGATTTTCACCTACCTTTCCTGATGAAATGGGGCCTCCATGGTTTGACTGCGGATTCCAGCATGCAAGGTCGTTCAGATGGTTTTGTTTTCATTAATATTTTTGTCAATTACCTAACCAGCACCTTACTAATAAGGTGAGTGATAACATTATCTTGAGCATAGTATGTTGAACTATTTCATCCTTTCCCTACTGACTCATTATAAGAACAGGCAAATAACAACGGCAACTAGAGCTCATAAATAGAAGACTTCGGCAAATCGTCTCTTCCAAAGAAGCCATAAAACAGGATTCATTGGTACTCAGCTTTTGTTCTCCATGCCTGAGAAGAAGCCTCAGAATTAGCTAAAGCACGAACATTATTTGTTGAAAGAACAAATACTGTTAGAGACTCTTTACGATTATTGTTAATCTATGTTCAGAATTCTCCTATCATCCTGCCTTGCCAATCTATTGCATTCTGACTTTGGAAAATATCCTAGCTCCTAGTCAATAAACAAATTTCTGTCTGGAAGTAATGGCTTTCTTTATGCTTGATTTCACATTTACTAAAATTTCATCCATGTTCTGGGCAATATGCATAGCACTGTCAAAATGCTACTTTCCTGCCATTTAGTTAAAGAGTTTAAATTAAAATATAAAGAAGGGGCTGGATGCGGTGGCTCATGCCTGTAATCTAAGCACTTTGGGAGGCTGAGGTGGGTGGATTACCTAGGGTAGGGAGTTTGAGACTAGCCAGACCAGCCTGGTGAAACCCCCATCTCTACAAAATGCAAAAAAAGTTAGCTGGGCTTGGTGGTGTATGCTTGTAATCCCAGCTACTTGGGAGTCTGAAGTGATAGAATCCCTTGAACCCAGGAGGTAGAGGTTGCAGTGAGCCACAATCACACCACTGCACTGCAGCCTGGGTGACAAGAGTGAAACTCTGTCTCAAAAAAAAAAAAAAAAAAAAAAAGGTAGAATATGGAATCCCAAGCTTCTGACTTGTTTTCTTCTGTTTTTAACATATGTTTACCTCACCTAGAATGTCTGTAATAATATTGATATATAGAAATTTGGAAATATATATAAAATAAATCAATTTAATACAGAGTACTTAGAATATTATATATATACATATACACATATATATTTCTCAGCACAGTAGTCTATTTATTGGTTTTGTAGATAAGGTTTGAACAGTTAAATAAATTTAATATTGAACCTCCTAGAAGTGGTTTAGCCTCTATAAAGTTATCATCCAAAAAATAAATATAAAATAATCTATTTGAGTGGTAAAAACAACATGGTAAGTACCCTGAGCATTTTTGTAAATAAAAAGCAAATCATATTTAAAGAAAAATAAAATGATCGCCAGAGATGGGTGTAATTGAAGTCTGGAAGGATGGAGAAGAATCCCCAATATCAAGAGTCTGTGTCCAAAATTAAACATAAAAATATTTTATTCACTGTTATTCACTAATACTTATTTATTCCCTAATATTTTATTCACTTTTTCATTAGGACTACTGTGTATACAAAGGGCTTTAGAAGAAATATTAATGCACTGCTTCTGCTTGAACACGTTTGGGGATAATGAAGTCACTCCTTTGTGAATTTGTTCCATTTTCAGAGAATCCTATTTGCTGAAAATTTCTTCTTTAGATTGAGAACAATACTGTATAGTTGTCCTTACCAGTGATCTATTGACCATAAAGGACCAGTTCACTTCCTTTAACCTAGGATAGGTGTTGAAGTATTTGGAAATAATTACTATGTGTCCCAGATGGGCATTCAGTTGTCCAAACTAAACATACATTTTTTTTCCCCCGTGACAAAAGTTAATGGTAAACATATTGTTTGAGACACTGAGTGAGACTCGTTGGGGATATCAAGATTTATAGATTCTGTTCTCAAGAGCTATTCTGAAGAGTAATATACTGAAACAAACATAATACTGCCTTGACTATTTTAAGTACAATATAAAAACTTCAGGGGAAAGAAAGAAGAATACTTTTTTTTTTTTTTTTTGGCAAGACTCTCTGGCAAGCAAAAAGATTGCTTCTTCTTGAAGAATAAGAGAACACTCAGGGGAAGAAATGACATGGAAGTGACATCTGCCTGCTGAGGTTACTAGGGTATGAGTACTCAATGGGAAAAACAAAGGGTGAGGTGATAGGAAAATTTAAAAAGAGGTGTAGGCTGGCCGCAGTGGCTCACGCCTGTAATCCCAGCACTTTGGGAGGCTGAGACGGGTGGATCACGAGGTCAAGAGATCGAGACCACCCTGGTCAACATGGTGAAACTCCATCTCTACTAAAAATACAAAAAATTAGCTGGACATGGTGGCGGGTGCCTGTAATTCCAGCTACTCAGGAGGCTGAGGCAGGAGAATTACTTGAACCCAGGAGGCGGAGGTTGCGGTGAGCTGAGATCACACCATTGCACTCCAGCCTGGGTAACAAGAGTGAAACTCTGTCTCAAAAAAAAAAAAAAAAAAAAAAAAAAAAAAAAAAAAAAAAAAAGATGTAGCTAAATTTAAGTAGAGAAAAGAAAGTCTAAACTAAAAAAGAGAAAATATAAGACGTTACCTTAAAGACTTTGGATAGGAAAGATTTTTTTTTTAAAAGCAAATACAAAGAAACAAATAAACAATAGTTGTAAAATAAAAAAATAGCAAATATGCCTACACCAAAATGAAAAGCTCCTGGTAATACGAGATATCAAAAAGAAATTAAAAATAAAGCAAGAGCATGTATAGGGATGGGGGATGATAACGGCTAAAAGAATTCCATGTACTTCCGACTCGATGTTTCTATAAATATTAAGCCTACAAAAATAGCCTATTAATGAAAAAATCAAGCTAGCAACAAAACATAGCAAAAATAGCCCGATATAGAGAAAATATATACAATATGTACCATAAAATTACCACCCATTTTCAAGAATGCCTACAAATAAAAAGAAAGAACAAATAATTCAATAAAAAATAATCAAAGTATATAAGCAATTACAAATATGATTTAATAAAAATATCAAAAAGTGTTAAACCTCATTAGTAATAGGTAATTCTAAACACAAAATATTATTTTTCATCCTTCATCTGGCAAACGTTTTTAAAGTTAATCATATGTCAACTTAAAAATATATTTTCACATACTGTAGATGGAAATGAAATTTAACAGAGTCACTGTATATGTGAACATTTAAAATACACTTTATGACGAGGTAAATTCACTTCTCAAAGTCTCTCCTATATGAACATTCTTTCAAGTTCTACATTATTCACCTCAGGACCACCTGGATACTGAAAAATTGAGAACAATGAAAAAAATCCATCAATTTGAGATTGTAACTTAAACTATAATATAGTCATATGAACAAATACTTTACAACAGATAAAAGGAGTGGCATAGATCCATATGAATTAATAGGATAAAAATTATAAAATTAACAAATAAGATTTATAAAATTACACAGAGTGGCATATTTTATGTATAATCACTCACATATAAACAAATATTTCTCTGTTATGTATTTTTATATTATAGTATATATATGTGTGTGTACATATATAGAGATAAGAAAAAAGCTTTACAAAAACACAGCCTACATAAAAATTGTTAACTTTGGAGAAGTTTTGGAAATGAGGATTGGAGATTCTTAAAGTGATTTTGAGACAACATTTATGTCTTGATGAGCAATTAATTTTTAACATTTAGAAAAAATAGCAGCACTGAGAAATAAAGTTGGTCCCATCCTAAGTAGTACTAGAGTCAACAACAAAGTATTATTAAGGGTTGAATAGCAAAATGAAATAGGCATCACAGCACATTGCCTTCTAGAAAGCCATAGAATGTGAGGGTTCGTATGTGTCCGTCTGATTCGTCTGATTGAATTTTAGTTAAATTTTAGTTAGGCAAAGAATGTGCTTAGTAAATAACACATTATGTCCATAGCTTCAGTGACAAGAACTCAGGTGAGAGCCTTTAAAGGTGTGTTTAAAAATATACAAATGAAACTTTTTTCCCATAAATTTCACTGCATAGTTGACCAAAATTTTCTACCTCCTAAATAAAAGCTATGCTAACTTTGTGAATAATTGTGAATATGCATGTGAGCTTATAGATGTGTGTGAATAAATACACATATATTTCTTTTCATCATGATTCTTAAACCTGTTATGTATATATCTGGAAGTCATAGTTCTACTATTTTTGAAAATACATATTGACCACTTTTTTTTTTCTGTGTTAATTATCAGTTTAACACTTGGGCATAATTATCATAATAATGTTATCCCCATAACTTGGAACCAACTGTTGATAAAGAAGAGAGAACTTAGCCGGCATATTTTTCTTCCTTTTTTCTTGCCTCTCTTGAAAGATAGGTAATAGAGATTTTAAGCATAGCGGTGCAATCCAGCCTGAGGCATGGAACATCCACAGTTCTCTTTGCTTTTAGAAAAAAAAAAAACCATAGTAGTGTTTTTATGAAATATTAGTAGAAACATAATATAAAAACACAAGTATTCCAGGGAACGGGTATGACAGCTCTATCTGATCAAAATAGTTGTGGTGGTTTTCAAGGAACATTTCTCTGCTCATTCCAGAGAACACACATGAACTCACTTGTCTAAAAAGTACCTAACCAACCTGAATGTAAAGGCACAGTGAAGGTGTTCTCAGCCACAGCTATACCGTGGAAGAAAAACTCTTATGTACAATTTCTGGGAGAACTGGTCATGTTGGCTTGATTGAGCTTGTAATCTCGGCTACTAGGAAGGCTGAAATGGGAAGATGACTTTAGGTATGGAGTTCAAGACCCGCCTGGGAAAAATAGTAAGACCTTACCTCTAAAAAAGTAAAAGAATATAAAAATTACCTGGACATGGGTATGTCTATAGTCCCAGCTATTGGGAAAGCTGAGACAGAAGGATCACTTAAGCCCAGGAGTTTGAGGCTGCAGTGAGCTATAATTGCATCCCTCTGCACTCCAGCCTGGGCAACAGAGCAAGACCCCTGACTCTTAAAAAATAAATAAATAAATTAATTAATTAATTAATGACAAATATTCTGCAAAACATTTCCAGGAGGCACATACTGAAACAATAATTTTAGATGATGATGGCAAAACCAGACACAAAGCAAGCCCAAATCTTCCTTTAATCTAAATTTAGGGCTTAATTTTATTCTTTTGATTCCAGTGTAGATTCTCTACGCTAATGAAGAGCATAAGGAGTCCTCAACCCCACTCTCAAACCCTGAAGTACTGTTGTTCTCAATGACCGCAAAGCATCAGTCCATGCTGTCAACATCTGTTTACCAAGTTATGTAGTTTTATTCCGTACGTGAAAATTTGTGCGTATTTATCATCATCTCCATGTAAATAGCTTTAGAAATGGTTATGCAACATATTCTAAAATAAACTGTTAAAGGCAGAAGTTTTCATGATCACTACCAAATAGGGTTGAGGATGTCAGTGAACAAGATGGTTGGAACCATTGTGTTGATTTTAAAAGTCTGAGTCTGATCA